CCTCTTATAAAGATTAATACTTTATTCTCAGTGGATGTTACCCTGACATGAATCATTGTGGGATAGACCACTGCACCAGGGGAAGAACAGATGTCGAATTATTGTTTCCTGTAATCGTGTTTCATACTTGTGAGCTACCTTCAGAGCTGGCTTTTGAACAGGAGAGTTGTGATATACACTATAGATTTATTAAGGTTGCTCATTAATCAGTGTTGGGAGGTCCATGTGACAGGCAGTTTGATAAAGATTAACCTTTGCTGTTCTGTACTTTTTGATAATTTAAATGTGGATGATAAAATATTGAGAAGAATAATCAGGTTTGTAGGAAGGATGCATTTAAAGCACCACCTGCTTTGTACACCATATTATTGGAGCGCGGGTTGTGAAATAATTTGCCTGAAATGATTTCTGGATTGGTAAATCTGGGTCATACTGCCTGAAATTAGGGCTGGCTAGAAAACGTCAATTTGATTTTGTGGGAAAAATTTTAGGTTTTGAAAATGGTTTTCATTCTAATGCAGAATGAAGCGGAGACCTTTCAAAATGTTTAGTTCCATCGCGGAACTGAGAAACGTTCCTGACAAATTGGCTTTTTTTTCAATATACAGGAAAAAGCGTTGTCAACATTTTTTCAACCTCCTCTAGCTGTGATGCATGCTATGAGCAGAGGTGAAATTGTAGTCCAAAGGTAAAGAATTTTGCCTCCCAGCACAAATATTAGGTCTGCTCCTTGAATGCTGGAAGGGGAAGTGTTTATTGATACAAAAATCACTCACCCTCTAAACACTACGACTGTCAAATGCTTTTTATGTATACATTTCCCAGTGTATCCTAATCACAGTTTCCGTTTTCTTACTTTCTGATATTTATTACTTTCAGACTGCTGGAAAATAAGCTTTAGAGTGTAGAGTTATTTCTGTACAGTGTTCCCCCCCCACCCCCCCATAATTAGGTATAGGGTACCAGCAGGTCCCAGAAAGATCACATGGTGATGACCGTGATTGTAATGTACTTTTATTTGCCTATGAAAGCTATCATGTCTGGGTAGGAAATCTCCAAGTAGTATAACTAATGTTACTGTCCCAAACAAGTACAAGTATGGGAGTGAATAACTTTTTTCAGTGAAGCCTTTGAAACAAAGCTAAGGCCAAATCCAATAGCAGAGTTATCTTCTGTGAAAATTTTTGTGTGTGTGAGACTGATATTGATTGATGGTGCACCTTAGACATCTTTGACTCATTGTTTTATCTTCATGTTATATAACCTGCAAGATTTACATACTACACAGTTCATTTACTCACAGCTTGGTTCTTGGGAATGCAGAGATCCACTGAAATGATGACTGAGAAATTTTGTCAAGTCCTCTTCGCTACTTGAAAGGAGCCAGCCCTCAGAATAGAGGTTTATAATTTCAAATGGAAGTAATATGACAAATCAATTAGGTAGTTTTCCTTGTCTCTCAAAGTCAGCTTGCTTACCTTCTCTATTGATCAGTCTCAGCTCCAGGCAACGCACTCAAAGCTGATGTAACTGCAATTTTAGCTTTCCACATGCTTTCCAGATACTACATTGATCTGTGACCATTCTCTAGTAGTAGGATTTAAAAGGGACATGAAATGTGCAATCTCTAATTAAGGGCTTTTGTAATGGTACTGATTGATGCACTCAGAGGCTTCACAAAGATAAGTTAGCAGAGGCGCTGCTACCTGATTGGGGACCCTAAGCCGGAATATTCCCCTCCCCCGACCACATACTAATAATTAATAGGAGGGCCCCTTGAGCTGCTTGGGGCCCTAAAGCAATTGCTTAGTCTGCTTATGCCTAGCGCCAGTTCAGGAAGTTAGTACAGTTACTTCTCCATAGTGCCTGCCAACCGTGTGTCAGAATCCCCCTTTTACTCATTTCATTAAAAGCAGTATTCCACAACTAGTTATTATAAAAAAAAAAAAAAAAAAAAAAGGATGCCTATTTTGAGTCTGAGGTAAATGAAGTCCTCACAATTTAATCTTATTGAATTACTTATGAATACATTACAGCAGCTAGTGTTCAAGAAGCTATTTGTTTTGCTCCTTATTAGGAGTTAAACATATTAAAGCATACTTAATCAGACCTATGACCTTATGTATAACCTCCTCCATAACAGATTTGAAAGGCTGCAACGTGTGATAGATTTTCGAAAAATCTGCAATGTATTACCTCAAAACATCTTCACAGGAAAATAAAAGTTTGGATTAATATTTATAAGAGTATTTCTTAGCAACATTTCTAATACTCTTCTTATTTAGCTGATGGCAAGATATTCTTCTGTGTCCCATATCCCTATTTTTTCATTGCCATAATCTTTAGTGAATATGTTTTAGGATCATGTATCTTAAAAACTCACAGCAGACTATTAGGTTAAATACTTATAATTCATTACCTGCCATGTAGGAGTGTTGTCCAACTTCATATTACATAAACTGTTTTCAGATACAATAAAAGATTCTGTCAATGTGCTGTTTTATTAATGTTTGTTATGCATGTATACATTTTCCTGTCTGTTAGGTAAAACAAAATCTTATTAATTTATTATAGACCCCTAAAGGTTTTGTTTGTACTTTTAAAAACTGAAATGCCGTTTTGGCCACTGGTACAGTATGTTAACTTTTTAGGCTATGTCTACACTTAAAATGCTACCGTAGCACAGCTGCAACTGTGCCACTGTAGAGCTTCAGTGTGGACATTCACTACAGCAATGGGAGGGGTTCTGCCTTCACTGCCCTGAAAGGTGGTAGCTAAGTCGACAGAAGAATTCTTTCGTTGGCCTAGTGCTGTCAATACCAGGGATTAGGTTGGCATTGCTTCGTCTCCTAAGGTGTGTGGATTTTTCACACTCTTGAGAGATGTAGCTATGCTGATGAATGTTTCAAGTGTAGACCATCCCCCTGAGCTTTCTAGTCTCTCAAAATGTGAATCTATAGGTAATACTTACCTGTAAGGTACGTAGAACCCTATAACGACAATATTTATCTGAAGCTAATTGGAAGTACTTGCTAATAATGAATGCATTATTTGAGAGACTGTAAAATATTAGCCATGCTGTTATTTAAAACAGTATTAAAACATAACCATAATACTTACCCTTTTTCATGTGAATGTGACATTTTCAGAAAAATATGCTGCCTATCTTTTTTTTTTTTAACCTAGTCCCTTGTGTAACATATGGGTATTGTGCTCAACCATTCAGGTGGAGCTCATGCTTCTGCGCATGTGTAGTTCCTCAGGGTGACCAAGGTGTGACACAAATGAGCTTTGTTGAGAGATCTCGCCACTGTTTGGCCAGAAAGATGGTGAATGTAATATTGTTTAAATTTTGGGTGTGTGAGTGGGAGAGGGCTTTGGAAAGAGATGGTTGGAAACTGTATTTGTGGCTAAAGCAGAGTAAAACGTTTCACAGAACTATCTGGATTTTCAGACATCCTATAAAATTAATATGCAGGAAGTATTGTTTGGGAAAAAAAATCCCATGCATTTCAGTACCAGGTTGCTTGCATGCATCATCAAATAGTTGAGTGATGTTGTGATACATTAGGACTTGATGTTGCCTCGTGTTGCAGTGATATCATTTTGTATGGCCAATATCATTACTTGTCCTGGAAGGAAATTCAGAAAAAGTGACAACAAATTAGTGTCAAGTATCAGGGGGTAGCCGTGTTAGTCTGTATCCATAAAAACAACAAGGACTCTGGTGGCACCTTAAAGACTAACAGATTTATTTGGGCATAAGCCTTTGTGGGTAAAAAAACACTTCTTTAGATGCATGGAGTGAAAATTACAGATGCAGGCATTATCATTCTGACACATGAAGAGAAGGGAATTACCTCGCAAGTGGAGAACTGGTGTTGACAGGGCCAATTCAATCGGGGTGAATGTAGTCCACTCCCAATAATCAGTGAGGAGGTGTCAATAGGTGAGGAGGCAAAGCTGCTTTTGTAATGAGCCAGCCATGAAAACTTATGCCTAAATAAACCAAGTAGTGTGAAGCAGCATTCTCCTCAAGGAATGTGGTGTCCTCTTTATCTGTTTTTTTTTTTTCCATCTCTGTCCTCAGTTGAGTACCTCGAGGGCGGCCCATGTTGCTCTTTCAGCTCTGACAAGAAACATTTAGCTTTGCTACTTTTTGAGGCGGAAGGAACTGTTTCTCTCCACCACCATCTCTGCTTCTCAGTTGGGGTGGGGACACCCACAAAAATCACTGCATTGCTCCAACTCATCATTAAGGGTTCTATGTCAAGTCAGGACAGTTCCTTACTTCTTGAATACATCCTCCTTCCCCTTAAAACAAAAACATAATGAAACAACTTTCGACTCTTTTTGCAGCCTAATTTGCAGAGCACATGTTCACTGGATTGTGTCAATGCTAACTTGATAATTCTTCCTTTTGCTTGAGTGTTAAGGGAAGTTGAACAGTCCTATCCATTCAGAATGTAAAGGTGCTGTACAGTTACACATGCAAAACGGCATAACTTTTTCTTCAGTTATGCAGTGCTTTGTGCTCAGTTGTGGATGTGTCATTTGCATGATCACAATGCTTAAATACATGTACTTATAAGTAGGAGTAGTCATGTGTTTAAAGTTATGCATATGCTTAAGTTCCTTGCTGAATTGGAGGCTGGGGACAAAGCTTGTACCAATCTTTATACTTCAGGTTGTCTAAGGGAATGTCTACACTGCAATAAAAGACATGCGGCAGCAAGTCTCAAAGCCTGAGCCAACTGACTCAGTTGACCTGGGCTCTGAGACTCACTGTTGCAGGGATTTTTTTGCTGTGCTATTGACTGTCTGGTTTTTTTGTTCTTTTTTAAACTTTTGCCCAAAATTTGGTCTGGCCTTCTGTCTGCCAGGAAGTTAACTTTTTTCCTGAAAGTTTTGTTTAAAATATTCGCTCTGTTTGCAATATGATGTGTGTATACTATGAAATTATGTAAGACATACTTGTAACATTGTATCTTCATGTGCAGACTGCAGGGAGATCTTGCTGCCAATGATGACAGATCAGTTGAAGTATCATTTGGAAAGGCAGGAAGACTTGGAGGCTTGCTGCCAACTGCTTAGTAACATCCTGGAAGTCCTTTACAAGAAAGATGTGGTTAGTAACTGACGTTTATACCGATTAGCCCTTAAGAATACTACGTCTTGTGAGTGATAAGGGTGATCATGAAGTAAAGCTGGCAATGACTTCGTTTTTGTCATTTATTTTTGTTCTGAGTTTTAGCTTTCTTTTTCTTCTCCTCCTCTCTTGTGGTGTTCGGTGGTGAGGTGGTGTTTCTGATGTTTACTCTTTCACCATGTTGCTCTCTGGCTCCAAGGTTTCTCACTTATGACAACCTTTATTCTGGCCAAGAGGAAATACGGCTCCCTCTGGAGCTCATCCCATAACACCACTCCAGATATTGGTCAGATACTCACAGGAGTTGAGTATCCTTCCTCCACAGCACTTGCACCTCCTGCCAGTTGGGGAGTGTTGGATGAGTTTGGAATATGAATTCTTTAGCCTCTTCATTGCATTGATGCTTGTTTATTGGGCCTGCTTTTGGTTCTTTGGTGGTTGTTCATCAACTAAAGAGGATAAAAACTGAGTGTGCTGTTTGAAATTTGTAGCAGAAAATTTCACTAGAGGAAAAAATAGTATCTTACAAGACTCTCACTGTGAAAGAGTAGCCTTAAATGACTTGTTCAAGTTATGGGGAAAATCCAAAATGCTGGTTTGATGGTGTGAATGAACAATTTGTCAGGAATTTAAAATGTACAGAAATATTCCCACGTGATCTATGACATTTAAAAACAATCTGCGGGAAGTAGGCTGCTCTTCAGACAGCTCAGTAAATCAAAACAGTCCCCCTCTAGCCAGTTCTCTCAAGATATAACTAAATAACTTGATAGTGCTTCCTTCTGCTTGAGTATTATAGGGAAGTTAAACAGTCCTATCCATTCAGAATGTAAAGATGCTGTACAATTACACATGCAAAACTGCACAACTTTTTTGTGTTAGGCAGTGCCCTGTGCTCAGTTGTGGGTGTGTCATTTGCATGATCCCAGTTTTTTATTGACTAGACCAGGGGTTCTCAAACTGGGGGTCGGGACCCCTCAGGGAGTCAGGAGGTTATTACATGGGGGGTTGCGAGCTGTCAGCCTCCACTCCAAACCCTGCTTTGCCTCCAGCATTTATAATGGTGTTAAATATATAAAAAAGTGTTTTTAATTTATAAGTGGGGGGGGGGGTCGCCCTCAGAGGTGTGTTATGTGAAAGGGGTCACCAGCACAAAAGTTGGAGAACCACTAGACTAGACAGTGACTATACAAATCTCTCTCCTTTGATGGGGAGCTATACTCCATTCCGGCTATTTGCCAGCGTTAAAGGTTTTTGGACCAGAGGGTTCTGAGTCTGGATTCCTGTACATGAGCGGCATAGCTACCTACACTTTGGCCAGGGCAAGTTCCAACTTTTTAAAAAAACGTCCTTGGTAACTGCATTCTTCCAGTGATCCCGGATTCTGTGGCATCAGGAAGCAGATTACGTTAAGAAAATGAGCTTCTGTCCTGACACCACAGGAGTCCCTCCCCATTTTTTGCTGTCTGCATTTCTCTAAGCAAGCTGTACTTACTGGGTTGCAGCTCCACCACCTGCTGAGCTGAACACAGTTGAGAAGGTCTGCATGAGGGGTGGGTGCAGAGTTAGGAGCTGGCTTCTGTTATTGAGAGAGAAACAACCAACAACTGGGTGAGAGAGGGCTGCTGAGCTGCCAGATGATTGAAGCCTGTATGCAGGCAGAAAAGGGAGATGGAGGAGCTGTGGGGAAAGGAAGCAGTCCCTGGAGGTGAGAGTAGGAAAGTCCCTGCTTGTCACCAGCAGGGAGCTTGAGTGCTGCGGAACAGTAGCTGCACATACATGTACTGGAGATGAGGGATACTTTTTCACATATGCCAGCTGGAGCCTCTGGAAGTTAAATGCAACCTGGTGAACCATGGGTTATTTTTCTCACTCATTTAATAATAATAATAAAAATGCATTTCACTAGCAGGGTTGCACAGCTGTCCAACAACAGCCTACAGCATATCCTATTCGGAGAATTGTCTGGCAAAACATTTTAAATGTTGACAACCATAGAGTAGTCCCTAAAGAAAGCTGCATTAGGGCAAGGCAGGCAAGTAACTTTTAAGGAGCACGTTTACATTGTGGGAGGGGAAGCAAGTTCCCTATATTAGTATGATGCTTCCCTACCCCCAAACTTTGTGGGACTTCCTCCCCCTACGGGGTTGGGACATAGATCCCTAACATGTTCACAAAGGGCATTCACTGTCAACACCACACTTTTAATGTTTTTTAAAAAAAATCCTAGCAGATCACCTCTTAAAACCAGAATATATAAAAAACAATTGAGAATTAGTTTGAAAGGCCTTAGCTAAATTGTTTAATTTATTGGATGCACTGTTATTAAGTGTGCCATGTTTACCTTGGTCAGAGACATTTGATTTTAAATGGTGAAAAAATGTCGTTGGAAAACTAAATTGTGACCTAACCAAATGCCATAAACACTGCGTTTTTTCCCCTAAGGATTTGCTTTTTTTTTTTTAAAGTACTCTCTGTAATTGACTTTCAGTAGCAGCAGTAATAAAAAGTCTATTTTCTTTGTGCAGTCTTTGCTTTTAACAAAGACTGTTTTTCATCTTGTTGAGCAGTAGTTGTGAGGAGTTATAATTGATTTGGTTCCAACAGGATAGATGGATTTAATAACAAGCATCAATATTTGAGTTGTATTGATTGTCTTTTGGTGATAGTTTCCACTAGATTATCCTTTCTCTCCAGGGACCAACACAGCGCCATGTCCAGATAATCATGGAAAAGCTACTGAGGACAGTCAATAGAACAGTCATTTCCATGGGACGCGATTCAGAGCTCATTGTAAGTTTCTCTTGACATAAACTTAAGTATTTTTATCACAACCTCTTGCACCTCACATAATACAGGATTTAAATCCCAGGTGGTAAAAAGCAATCAAAACCTCCTGTAACTCTCTTGTGTGTTCAGTAAACTGTAAAGTTTTGGATTATAATTTTTGTGTGGCTTATAATAGGAGGAGAAAGGTCCTATTTAAATTGTCAGTGATCAAATGATGAATTTAATTGGGTTTGTTTAACCAAAACTAATTTTATTTTTTGCAATTACAAGATTTTAACTTGCTAAAAATGTTGTGTAAATTAAAAAAAAACTTTGGTTGTTGACATGTAAATTGGACTGGAGGCTTTATTCTGCCAACATTTACTCACATTGTGGTTGTTCAGTTGGGGTAATGACTCCCATAGGCATACTGATTTTAAATAAGTGAAGGATTGCAGAATATGGCCCTGGCAATTACAACTTTCATAATGAAACAGAGGCTTTGATGTGTGCCCATGCAAGTCCTGAGAAATAATATGGTTATTCCAAGATTATCCATTTAAGAATACACTGACATAACTTAATATTAGAAGAGATTAACTCTTGTTGAGTTTTGCTCAACTTTATATTTAACAAAGTTTGTTACCTTTTAAAATATTTTGTTTATTGGACCACTTAAATATTCTGCATCAGAAATTTGGCTTCAGTGGAGCTACACTGGTTTGTATCAGCTGAAGATATGGGCCTTTATTAACTTTTTTTTAAAAAATCTGTAAATGTGTGTCACTATTTGCAGCATATATGCACACAATGTACTTAATTGGTGTAAAAGCTTGCATTTTAGGTGAACGTTATTCATTTAAAGTTCTGTATCATTCTGAAAAAAATATTTTGGTGGAAACCTGGAAAGAGAGATCATGAAATGTTTCCTGCCAATCTGCACACTTTAATGGCTTTGACTCTCTTCTTAAAACTTCTTCCCTTACCTCTTCCTTCTCTGTACTGTATTACATCATTTATAAAAAATCAAAATTGAGAAAGTTCTGAATTAACTCTCTCCTCTCTTCCTCTAATTCCATATTATTCCTTTACCCTCTCACTGTGATCTCTCTCTTCGTCCTTCTAGGCTCTCAGTCCGTCCCCTGGACACCATCCTCTCTCATTCTCTGTCCTCCACTCTTCATCATCTGTAATGGTGTTTGTATCCCTAAGAATGATAAAAACCTTCTCTTACTCCTAATTCTCTCTCCAGCTATCATCTTGGCACTTGCTTTCCCACTTCCAACAACATACTGTCGGTTAATGATTTTGTACCCCTCCCACCCCAAAATGACAAGGATTAATCCTTGAGTAAGTAAAGTAGCTATGATTCTTATGGAAGAAAAACTTAACATTGAGAAAGCAGACAAAAGTAATTAGGTTTGAATTGTGTGTGTTTGTATATAATAAAATATATAGACAGTAGAATGCAGACAAAATATTGTGATTGTTTCTGTAGGTTAAATTGTTTGTAGAAATATAGCTTGATGTATTTATCAAAATTCCTTAATTTTATTTCCCCTCTGCTAAACTGTGATGATGTCTGTATATTTGAAATGATACAAAACCACAACAGGATATTTTCTGAAGCATTACGTTAGTAGACCCATAGTTAGTTTTCCCCCTTTTTAACTGCAGCATAATGTATTTGAAAGTTTAAGTCTTGCACATATATATTTTTAACTAAGTGCAATTGTATTAAAAATGCACACTGTGAACATGAATGTAGCCTGAAAGCATTACATCTGAACACACTGTAATTATTTAATGAATACTGACAGCATCAGGAATTTTTAAGAGGGCACTTACTATTTAAAATTCAGTGCATTTCTAAAAGCATCTCTTGGTAATCAACCAATAATGATTCACTTTTGTGGTGTCAATAAAGTAGTAAGATGGAAATGAAACTGATACTTAGTATGCATAACCTTACCCTTCTTGGATCAGCATCAGATTGAGATTTATGCATTACATTTTTTTGACTTGAAAGTTGCACCTAGAATTTAGATTAGAGAATAGATCATAGCAGAACAAATAGAAGGAAAAACAGTTTCTGGACAAAGAACTATAAAGGAGGATAGTTTAGGTAATGGCTTTTTTTTAAAGTAATGTATCACAAATCATATATATTCATTTCTTACATAAAATTGCTATACAGGTGTTACAGTAGTTGAATCTAAATCATTTTTTCACCTTGAAAAAATGACTATATATTTCACCTCTTATTTAAAATGTATTGCACTGATAATAATATGGAATTTGCATATTATGTATTTGCAAAGATATTGGAAGTTTTTTGGTGATGCTTGCTTCTTCTTTAAAAGAAGGAAATATGTTCATTATGATACAAATTTACATCTTGATTCTGTAAATATTCGCTCCTGAGTGGTTCTGCTTGAGTAGCCCCAATGAATACAATGGAACTACATGTCTGAACAAGGATTTGTAGGGTTGGGCCCAATACGACAAAAGTTAATCAAATAACATTGGTTTCGCATTATGCATTCTTTTCATAATTTGGTTTAAAGATCAGTGGGATTTTTATTTGGTATTCTTTATGCACTGTAATGGGTGCTTTTTATGTATAAATATCCAACACGGTGTTCTTTTGTTGGTGCTTTTAATTTGCATAGATTATACTCTTTACACACATTTCCAACTTCTGAACTGTGCACAAGTATGCAGTATGCCTCAAAGTGTGTGTGTGTCTGTACTTGAGAGCCTAGCATTTTGGACGTCAACAGGGGATTTTAACAGAATTCACATATTCAAGGTAGAATGGAGTTGCCTTGAAACAGAGGGAGTAAAGGTATATTGATGGTTATTTTGTTAAATACAGTGTGTTTTCTGATCACAGGATAAAGATCATCAGTAGGACATGAAATTCATAGATAAGCACTAATATAACGTGCAAAATATTCGCTGTTGCAAGAGGATATATAATTCAAGAGTCTAGTTATGAAACTATAAATAATTTAATACTTCAATAGTCAGCTTTTTTGACTATTCAAAAAGATTGATTTTTCTCTGTTTTATAACTTATGGATGTGATTTAAAACCTTTATTACTGTTATGACAATTGTTAAATTGATTCAACAAAAGTATTGATAATAGATGGTTCTGTTGTATATAATGGGCCCAGATACCTATGTCTAACATGGGATACGCTGTCACGTACAATATGTCACAAACTTGCATTCCACATGTGAGCACAGTAACAAATTTTAGAGATCAGAACATTTTAATTTTTTGTGTGTGAAATTTAAAATTTGCAAAGATTCCTGGAAACCTCAGGACCCCCAAAACCCTCCCTTCAATTATTGTTTTTTACCATTTTTATCCTAAATGTGTTTTTGCTATAAAAGCTAAATCTATTTTTGATCATTTAGTTTTCTCTCTAGGATTTTTTTTTTCTCCCCCAGCCTTCACCAGGGTTTGAAAACCTTCAGACACCTAGTGAGAATGAAGCTCACTAGCCGGATGCTAGTATGAAAGGCAAGGTGGTTCCTTGCCAGTGAAGTGAACAGTAATGACGTCATGAGGACGTCTGCCTTCCCTCACCACTCTTGGCTACTAGGAAGGAGATACAGAGTTTGGGCTCATAGGAATTCTAAGGATTCTCCATACTCTTCAAGGCCATGTGTCACCACCATTGCAAACCTTCTGGCTAATGCTTGTAAAGAGTTCCCTTTAATTAGCTAGATGGTAACTTCATGAATGATATGAGGCACTCTTCCTCTCTTAGTATTTGAATAGGCTGAAAGGGCTACTTCCATCAAAGAATTTGCTTATATAATTAAAATCTCTTTACTTTATTTTTGAATACTCTGTTGTTCAAGATTAGGAACATAAATATTCTTTATTAGATAGAAATACTTTTAATTCCTAAAAGACAAATATCTCTTTAAATAAGATTGGGGAAAATTTAGCTCTAAAAAAACAAAAGAAAAAAAGAAAAAAAACCCCACAAAAACAAACAAAACTTGGAAGCAATAGATGAAGGTCAGGTTTAGAATAGTTATTTCTGGCCAAGTCACTATTAATGCTAGCACTATATTTTATTCTACCCCAGATGATTTATAAGAACCCGACATGCTGTTTAACATGCAGAAGAATATGCTGGTTTGGGCTCTATTAGCTTGGATTTAAACACAGTCTGTTCATTTAATCAGCTCTTTTCATTGGGAGTTGCGAAGTTATATACTTAATGATGAGCCTAAATTCTGACTCTACGATGTTAAATATGGTTTATAATTTACAGGAGGGGAATTACTTTCACCATTTTGATACTGGTGGTTTTTGAATATTTTCCCCTTGAAATTAAATCTTTTTATACAATATTTTTTTAAAAGGCATTTGGTAAATATGTGTGTATTGATATGGGCATGTTAGTTGCAGTGTTGGTAAAACTAATAACAGTTTGTATCAGTTTATCTCCTTGATACTCAGGTGAAGAGAATCATGCATAGTTACTGGAATATGATATGGACCATGATTTTTGCAAGATAACCATGGCCTTTTTTGTTGTTATAAGTGACTGTATACTTACACCCAGTCTCCAGTGTCTGTCTTCTTCAAGTCTGTGTTCTTCCAGTCTCCTCTCACTTTCCTTTTTTGTTTGTTCTCCTATCTGTAGTCACTCTGTCCACACTAGATTATTTGTTTATCTCTTTTATTATGGAAGACCCAATAAAGGCTTAATGTGTACAGCTGCAGCAAGATTTTGCTTTGACAGAACCAGGATCTTTAAGCTTCTCTGGTGCTGAAAAATGGGTTGCTTTAAAAAAATGATAAATGGAAAGAGTCCTGTAAACACATTTTAGAAGTTCTGATGCACTCTTCTAGGCACTTTTGATAAGTGTTATAAGTCCACAAATCACAAAGACCCCCCACGTTACTCAAAAACACCAACTCAATATGTTTCCCCCACAAACACAGCAATGAAAATAAATAAATGGACTTTTCAGTGTGTGCTAACGGTCAAA